TCTAGCTATTTGAGAGGTACGATTTCTTTTAATGAATATATAACTATATTTGTGTTTAATTATTTAAAAACAAAATGAAAAAATTATTTTGATATTTTATTAAAATTATAGATTCAGGTTATTTCAACGTTACATCCTACGGAGGAAGAATTGGAGACATCTTGGTATATGAATCTTTCATTGTCAGCTGGTAATGAGCATTGCGTATTAGATGGCATCATCAGTGGAGAATTAGACAATGTGACACAACAAATCCTAGATGATACTTTTGAGCAAGAAATGGATGATATATATGTGCAAGAGATGACCATTCCTAGTACGTCAAGAACTTCACCAGTAGCGGGGCCTAATTTTGAATCTAGCACCTTTAATTATGTAACTAAAGACCAGATGATGGAACTACTTGGTGTCCAAAAGCAAGACATAATAAAAGAGGTGTTTGATATATGTGGCAACTTGAGAACAGAAGTTTATGACAATCAAAGACAGTTGTTTGAACAACACCAAAAATGGCAGGAGGATTATATGCAATCTACTATGCGTTCCTACATGAATAACTCATTATCAAGTTTTTTTAACACACATTTGGAGAAAGAGGAACAATTATTCCAACAACAACAAAAATGACAAGAAGACCATTATCAGACCATGCACTCTTATGTAGATACCAGTTTAGATTCCATGTGATATTATGTGGATGAACAAAATAAGAATACGCTGCAGAAATTATCTAAATGGAAATTAGACATGGAAGCCATTATTAGTTGTACGCAAGAAGACATTCCTCTTGGTACATGTCCAATTCTCGATGATCAACCGAAGGATGCATCAACTTCTCAACAAGTCGAAAGTTCTGAAACATCACAACGAGAAAAGAAAAAAAGGGAAAACAAATACAATCTTCGTCGTCTAGAAGACGTCCTTTGGAAGATTATTCTATGCAAAAATATTCGACTCTTAGAAACTGGATAGCGGAGAACGAATCAAGGTTAGAAAGATGATTTTTTATTATTGGTTTCAATACTACAATTTTATTTTGATTTATTCAACTCTAATTTTAATTATGATATGCAGTACATATTTGAAAGATGCCATTGGGAATGTTTATGGAAGAGATTGGTTGAAAACTTTATTGGATATAACAAAAGATATAAATATTGCGGTCAGTACTGTTTATTCATAAAAATTAATTTTATTTCAGACTTAACATATTTGATTTTTATCAAATTATTCCACCAGGCAATTGAATTGGAACTGAAGTAGTTGAGACGATTAGTTATTAATGGTTGTACCCATGTGTCTAAAGAATATGCAATCATGGACTTTCAATTTAAAAATGAGTGTGCGAATATGATGATTTGGCAAATGGATTTTCAGGCAAGAAATAATAAAGGTGAACCAGATGAAACTCTTCTGAACAAATATGTGAACGTCAAAATGCCTGTAGAGAGCCGTCCATGGGTAGGGTGTAAGTACTTATTAATTCCATGTTCATTTCCCAAAAATACTTGGTACCTTTTTTGGTCAATATTTCGGAGTGGAAATTCTAGATATACGATTGCAGCCACAACGAGCATACACCGAATCAAGTAAAGGCACGTGTGAACGCGACAGTTAACGTGATTAATTCTTTACTATTCGACAAAGGTTTTGCAGGGAGACGGGATATAAGCAAACACATAAATAAAGAAATGAAGCTAGAGATTATAACATATCTGCCCTATGCAAACAACGAGTAAGCATCGAAAATAATTCTTGTTTAATATAATAGATATTTATTCGTAAGTACTAATTACAAAAAAAAAAAAATTATTACAGGCCGAACTGTGGAGTTTTCGTGCTTAAATATATAGAATGCTTTGTTCTAGGATTTCCAATAGAATCGGTTTCACCAGACACGATGGTTATAGATAGACGAAAAATTGCCGTTGATATTTTAAATAATGAATATTTCCTTCATCCACGTCTGTCTTTGTAATTGTAATGGAGTAATGTAATTTGCCTGATTGTAATAGAGTAATTGAATGCGGTAATTTAATCACTGTAAATAATGTATTTTATTCAAGTGTTATGTATTTTTTTTAGCCACTATTGGATATTTTCAGAATCCCTAATATTCATGTTGAAATTATGAAAGGAAATGAAAATAAACTATTAAAATAACATAAAAATCAAAATGACGTGACACTAAATTATTTTTTGACCTATATGTTGCTTTGAGAATTTTAATTTTTTTTAATATTAAGGAAATAAAGGAAACAGAAATCGGTCTATAGGCTATTTTTGTACATTTTATAAATTAAATTAATCGTATTATTAGTCGTGATTTTTTTAGTTACACGTAACTTTTAATATTTTAGATAGAAATAGAGAATTAATTTCTTTGTAAAAAGAGAAATGATTTAAATACATATTTTTTCTACTGAACTAAATGTTTGATAGTTGATAGCGTGAAAAAGTAGAGAAAAAAGATTGTGTGTTAGATTCAAACTAATGGACAAGGAAAATGCAAGTCGGAGATGACAGTACACTGAATTCAAAGTAATGGGTAGTGGAGATGACAATACACTGAAATGGCGTATGATTAATTGGCTGTTGGCAAGCTCAACTCGAAAACAGTTAAACGTGTACTTTCTCTCCATTTTTCACATTATCAACTTTGAATTAGATTATATAAAATTAGTAATAAATTTTTGTCAAAGACTTTTTTTTTATAGGAAAGCGATTCTTTATTTTTAAAATATTAAAACTTTTTTTTAACTAAAAAAATAATTTCGTTTTTCAAACAAGATTATGAAAAACAAAAAATACTAATAATGAAATTAAATTTATTTATAAAACGTAAAAGTACTTATAAGTATAAAATTCACATAAAGTTATTTTGAAGAAAAATGATTTTTTTTTGTAAAGGCTAATATTCGAATATATTTCATTTATTTAATTAAATATAAATATTTACGTATTCTTCTTTTTTTGAAATGAAATTTTTAAAATAGTATAAATTCTGATAATTGTTTTTGGCTTATACTTTAAAAAACTACTTATAAGTAAAAAAAATTTAACATTATATTTCTGCAGTATAAATATTTAAATATATTTTTTTTTTCAAATTAAATAGTGATAAGAAAATTACACTATCTCCAATGTAAAGAGTGACTTATAAGAAAGAAATTATTTCAGTTTATTTAAAAGTAAAAAAATACTTATAATTGTAAAAGACATTTACAGTAAAAAATTGAATATAAATATTTGTAAGTAAATATTCAGATATATTTCATTTTTGCAAATAGAATATTTTGAATAAAGTATTAATAACAAAAAATTAAATAAAAAAGAAGATAGGTTACTTGAATGACTTTAGATAATATATAAAAATTGAATAAAAAAAAGAATTAAATACATAATTTCCACAACTATTTATTTTCATACAATGACTTTAGATAATATAGAATTTATTGTTTGTTTTCACATGCACAAACACAGTTTCGTATATAAAATAAAATTCAGGTAAATTTTTTTCTATTTTTTTTTGTACGCTTTGCGTCTTTTGAAATTAATATATTCTTTTTCTAGGTAATTTTTTTCTTTTCGACTCTCTCTCTCTTCCAGCCTTCACGTCCACTCATTAAATTAAAAAATGGTGCTTTGACTTTTATACCATTTTCATTTGATTTAAATGCAATCCACGTGTATATTTAGCGGAAAGAACAAACGAAATGGATGGAAAGGACCAACTTCCCAAAAAAAAGGTTGAAATGGGGTTGTAAATGCCAAATTTAAAACAATAGGGATGATTTCACAATGAATGCAAACGATAGGGATGTTTTGTGCCAATTACCCTAAATTTTTGCTATATATTTTTATCTCTAGACTTCTTTCGGTATGAATATTAAAATATATATATTGTTATTGAAACTATATTTTAATAAATAGATTAATATATCTAGAGTGTCAAAAATAATTTGGAAGTAAATAAAGTAAAAACGAAAATGTATAATCGTAAAAAGAACTTATATTATGTAAAAAAAGAAAAAATCTAAATAAATTTTTTTCTTGTATTTTTTTAAACAATGAGAATAGTTATTTTCAATAATATTATTCATCTATTTTTGTAACCCATGAACCTGTTTTAATAAGAATTTGTCTATTTTTAGTACCTCTTGTCAAATCGTGTGTTTGGCCCCAACGAAAGTATTTTATTATTTCATCCATTTTTCAACCCTCTTTACTGACCAAGATCGTCAATCTTTGTTTGATTTCTGAACATATATTTTGGCATTATAACACGTTTTTGTGAAATTCAATGAGATCTACAGCCTTTGAGCCATGTAATTTAGACATTGTTGTCGTGTCAGTGAAGGGTGCAATCATTAATGCAGCATAGAATTACGATCTTACCCCCTTCTTTGTCCTATATAGTGAAAAAATAAGAGATTTCTTTGTTCTTTTCGGCCAAAAGTTGGCTTTGGAAAAAGGAAATGGACCCCACAAAATAAAAAAAGAAGGTTGAATAATGTAAATGCATGTAAAAAAATAGTGCACTGGGTTATTCCATGTAACAATAAGAGAGCAGGTATGGCACATGGGGCGTGTCCTCTTTCAAAATGTGGCAAATAAATTTTCCTCTTTCAAAATGAGGCAAATAATGTTTTCACATGGGGCTAAATGAATAAGAATGAAAAGTACATTTTTTCTAGCCTATATAATTATGTGTTTTCAATATTTACTTACAAGAATTTTTAGCCTTCCAAATTTGCATATCTTACTCCAGACTTGTTGCTGCTTCACCGAAACAGGTCTTTATCTATTTACTCTCTTATATTTTAATTGTATAGTTTTAAGTTATAACTTATTCGAAGATCGACTGATGTATACGAAAAAATCTATAGATGCACACAATCTCTTATTCCTTTTATTTTAATGTTATATAAACTTTTTCAATATGAAAAAAATATGTACATATTATCGCTGTAAAAATCGTACCACTGCAATGCTTCGAAATGGATGTTCCACGTCGTTTTTACATAACTATCAGTAATTCCCTCAATCACGGCATCAATCTGGTTAGTCATACAATATTATTATTTTTTACCTGGAATGATTTTTTCTCATATTTTACTTATACTTTTCCTCCGTATATATTTGTTTATAGATGATTCCTAAAGCGTTTGCGAAAGACTGGAGGCATGAATTCGGCGATACAGTACGTGTAATTGCGTACGATGGTATAATTGCGACAATAAAATTAGAAACAGTTAATGGGAAATTTTATTTAACTGATGAATGGGAGCAATTTTTCGATCATCACAATTTACACGATGGTTATTGCCTAATATTTGAATATATCGAAAATTTGACATTTAATGTGATCATAATGGATGATTCTGGGTTAGAAGTGAAATATGAGTGGGACGTCTCCGAAGAAGGTGAAGAAAGCAACAATTCGAATATGGATAATCCTATATTCGAAGTGAAGTTAACACCCCGTAAATATGGCCATTGAAAAATTGTAATTTTCCTTTTGAATAAATATTTTCATTCTATAGTTGTACTAAGTCTATAATTATGACCTCAAGACTAATAATTCATTCATGGCATTATAGTATATACCGGGAAGATTTGCCATCCAGCATTTGCCAAAATTCGTGCGTAGTGTTAAAATTCACGGCTGTTTACATCAAAATTGGGATATCATCAGAAATTTAAGGCCAAATGGTGTGGTACGATGTCTCGCTATAGGATGGACATATTTTCTCTCCATGAAGGAATTAGAAATGGGTGATACATACGTATTTGAACTACAGAACAACGAACCTCCGGAATTTTTAGTGTACAAAAAAAATCACAGTGATGAAAGTTTGACAAGACTATGAGATTTTTTCATTTTAACTTGTTTTTTGTTTTGGCTATTATTGTATGCAATCATAACGTTTTACTACAAATTTTATGTCTATCTAATTTATTATTATCTAATCTTATTTGATTTACTTTATTTATGTACTTATATATTTTAGCAACATTTAAATAACTTTTAATTTTACAAGAATGAAGAGAGTCCTAGTTATATTAATAATTAGGAAACTAATATAAAAGGTATTAAACTTATAAAAGCTAATTTAAAAGGAATTAAAATCATAAAACACTATAAACCTAGTAAATACGTCCAAAACTATTGTGAAATATGGAAAGATATATTAAAAAAAACTTAATTGAATAAAGGGACAAATGGCAAGGAATCCCAACAAACTGTCAGTCAAATAGACTCCTATTCACTTTGGTGAATGGTGAAATTTTGGAAAAAATTCTGCTCCGGCTGCATTGCGATCACATGGTATATGTTAATGCGGTCACATGGATGTGTGTATTCCTGCCGCTGAGTTCCCTGTGACCGTTTGTGCGACTCCATGAGTGGTTATGCGTTGCAGTTGCGTGCATGTAAGCTACAGCCATTCCATTTCTTGTTCAAGACAAGGTGGTTTACTCCGTTCCATGTTGATCCACATTGTTCTAGCTTGCTATAGCTTCCATTTCCAACTTCTATTTTGGCCCCTAAACTTTCCTAAAGATATTTCATTTAAAGTCGATATAGCAGCCTCAATTGAAAATTAAAGTCTAAGTTGAAATTATCCACAATTTATTTAATTAATAAGTGTAGTCCTAGAAGTTTAATTACAATTATAATTAAGTTTACAACTTTCGTAGTAACTAAAATAAAATTCAAGACTTTATAATAGTTGTAATTAAGTCCAAAACTTTCCTAGTAATTATAATAAAATTCAATTTTTTTTTAGTAATTATGTCACATTACTTTGAAGGGTTATGACAAGGACCTAAGATGTATCGATACACGCTTTAATAATTAGATTATGTCAAGTTGATTATCGATTACCCAATCTAATTATTAGTCTTTTTTCACTAAAAACAAAAGATTGCACTATGTATGTAAAATCACAAATTAACCAATAAATTAGGAGTATTTTTACCTATTGTGCATGTATTTTATCTCGGTCTGAGATTCGATAAATAAGTATGGACACAATGGCCATATTGCGCATCTAATTATTCTCAATAAGTTAAGTATCATTTTCAGTGTGATGACACTTGTGATAGAGGAAGAAAACAAACACGTCTCTTTCTTGTAGGGAAACGATAAATGCCAAAAAAGAAAGAATATTGCAAAATGATAAATGCCAAATGTAATTAATGTTAGTAACTATTTCACCAACCTACTTTATTTCTTCACCTCAAATTCATAACTCATTTTTCATCTACATCTTCAATTCATTCATTTCAAATCTCAAACTAATTACAGTGTAAAATTAAGCAACAAATTCTAAGGTAAGTTGTTTTTTATGAATAATGTTATTTATACATATTTGTGGAAGAAAGGTGAGGTTTGTGTCGAAAATAAAATTGGTGGTGTGGGACGTAAGTGAGGGAGTGCCCGCACGCGGTGGTGCGGGGGAGTCCCCACCCACAATACCGGTGTGGGAAGTCCCGCGCCAATTTGTGTGGGGACTCCCGCACAGATCTGTGCAGGGGAGTCCTCGCACGAATATGTGCGGGGACTCCCCGCTCTTTTTTTTGTTTCTTTTTTTAAAGTTAAATTATAATGTTTTTTTTTATATAAATTGGAGACAAAATTTGAGAATTAGAAATATATATTAAATCTGATAATTGATATGCATTGATAGTAATTTTTTTTCCAGCTTTCATGATGTATATGATATATACTTATATGAAATCACGAAGATATGTTTGTATACGTTATGACACTTTTCATTTCTATTATTTGTGCAGGTGTCTCTCGATTATATACTGTCACCAAACCAATGGTTTTCTGGTACTATCACTCAATACCCCAATTATTAATATGTAAAAGATTGTATAGCATTGCTTCAAGCAGATGAACAATCACTTTTAATCTCTAGCGATAACAATTTTCATGAATATCTTTATGGATTTATGTATAGAGACGAAGAGCAACAATTCAGTAGTAAACTAATACATGAATTTATAATGAGGTTTGTTGACTGTGGTAAAAAGAATGAGGTGTGGGTGAGGTTGGACGATCATTTTGCTCGTTTTGACTTGCAAGAATTTTATCTAATCACATGATTACCTTGTCATGAAAAATCTGTTAATCTTGATCCCAACAATTCTCGATTTAGAGATCAATATTTTGAAGGCAAAAAAAGAATTAACATGAGAATGCTTTACAGTGCATTCAAATTGTGTGAACATCCAGAGGATAAATTAAAATTGGGATTGGTAATGTTGGTAGAATGTGTTTTGACACCAACGGATAGATATATTGATTACAGAACTTTAGGCATGGTTGAGCAGCAGAATGATTTTTTGCTGTATCCTTGGGGCCGTAAGAGACACTTTGTTTTGTTGAAGTCGTTACAACAATCACATATTGAAAGAATACAAAGAATGCAACACTGGCCAAAATGAATGTCATTATATACTACATGCATATCCCCTTGCCTTTCAGGTAATTTTTTTAAAATTTATTTACTCTATATTTTGATTTTATACATATTTAATATTGATTTTGAATTCTCTGTTGTAGTTTTGGATATACGAAGCATTTCCTCAAATTGGAGACAAATTTGGACGACGTATGTATAAGACATTGCAGGCTCCAAGAATGCATAAATGGAAGCCAAAAAAAATATTGAGTGAGAGAAGAGTAAAGCAATTTTTTACCACCCAAGAGGTATGATAAATTTAGATATACATTTGACTATCAATTATCTAATTATTTAATAGTGGGAGAGGAAAGCATTATAATTTTTTATTATATTTGTAGATTGAAGTACTTGCAGTGTTAGCACCCACTGATGAAGAATTGGACAAAGTTTGGTATATGACTTTATCATTACCAACTGATAACCAACATACTATTTTAGATGGGATCATTGGAAGAGAATTTGAGAATGCACATCAACAAGTTCCACAACATATGGACGAGCAACAAACAGGTGTTGCTAGTAGTTCAATAGTGAAGATTTCAATTGGATTTCAAGAGTCTAGTTGTTTTTCTCTTGATTTCAACTATGTAAGAAGAGAAGAAATGGAAGAAATGTTCAGTATGTATAGGCAGCATGTAGTGTTAGATATGTCTAGCTTATGTCATAATCTGAAGACAAACATAGTTGATGAATCAAGAAGGCAGGAAGCAGAAACTCTTCAAAACCAGAGACAAATGTTTGAACAACATCAGAAATGATACGAAGATCAACACGAGGGTTTGGGCTTCCAATCTGGCATGCATTCCCATCATCTTGCTCAAGAAACAAAAGAATAAGATACTCGTTATCAAGCATTTCTTGATCAACAGAAAGAAATGTTTCAACAACAATAGAAATAACATGAACAGCAGTATCAAGAAATGCTTCAACAACAAAAAAATGGCATGAAGATCAGTATCTGGGAATTCAATCTTATATAAACAACAATTTTGTTTCCATGCAATCTTATATGGACAACAATTTTGCTTCAATGACCACGTATATTGACGACAAAAACGAAAATGTGATGAATCGATTAGATGATTTGGAATCAAAATTGGAAGCTATTGCTTGTTCACAATTGCAAGATGTTCCTGGTTCTAGTAGTGGCCAGAAAGCATCATTTCAACAAATTTCATCGGTGGGAACATCCAGAAAAGAAAAGAAAAAGAAGAAAATAAAGTATTCAGGTTATCCGTTAGAAGAATATCTCATGGAAAGATATACAACAATAAGAGAGTAGGTGGTGCGCAATCCATCTAGGTAAGAAATTTAATTGTATTTTATTAATTTTATTACATTGATTTAGTATTAATTTAAACTACAATATATACATATAGTGCATACTGGAAGATTGTAAGAACTGACAACTTATATGGAAGAGGTACACTAAAAACTATAATGGATACAAAACAAGATATCAATATTGCGGTTAGTGAGGTTTATAACTCTGGCTTAATTAGTTTTATTATGCTGAACATATCTAATTTATTTCTATTTATTGTATTAGCATATAGAAATGGAATTAAAGCTATTGAGAGAGTTGATCAATGAAGGTTGCAGTCCTGTTTTCAAAGAATATGCAATTCTGGACTTCAAATTTGAACATAAATGTGCTGCCCAATTGATGTGGCAACATAACGTAATGGCAGAATGTTTTAGCCATTCTCAAAAGGATTTATTGACTATGACTTTATAGCAATACATGAATGGTGATTTGCCGATGGGTGGGCGTTCATGGATAGCTTGTAACTATTTATTTATTCCATGTTCATATACGGAAAAAAATTGGTATCTCTATCTTGTTAATTTTCTGGAATGGTAAGTTCAAATATACGATTGAGTGAGGAGTCTCATACACCAAAAGAAATCAGGGAACAAATAAAGTCATTAATTGAAATAGTCCAAATTTCATTGAATTCTAACAATTTTTCTTTTAAGAGACCGAATTTAAGGAAGTATAGAAACAAAATGCTCAATTTGG